CTTACTACTGATGAGTCTTACAGCGATGAAATTGTCGTGTGTCCTAGAAAATAGTTTCCTTTATTTGGTAACAGACTAAATATTTATACTTCTCGTAATTATTTTACATACAAGTTGATGAAATCTGGAAGTTGAATTATATTGTCTTCATGTACACAATTAGACACAGGATGCTGAATTTTGGTTCTATCGTGTAGACGTCTACTTGGTCCGTTTTTGTATTCAGTTTCTACTCTTCGCCACGTTGCCATGCTATGTCCGGAGTTTTTAGAGCGATACCGTTATCTGTATTGTCGGGGGACTAAGCCCTGTTCTCACTTCTGTTATACAGACGGGGATTACACGGGTTTTACCTCACCTTTCGTCTATCGTTCATTCAAAACTACCCATTAGAATGTTATCAAGTCTGTATCAGCCAAATGGATTTCGAATCCAAAGGGAAGGTGAAAATCCAAAATGGCCGCCTTTGTATTTCAGATCCGTCCCGCAGTACAAAGCAGGCATGTGCCTTTGAAATGCTGCGCCATCTTCTAACGTGTTTCGATGGTCAGGATTATGAGTACATAATTGGTTTACGAGGAACTTAATGATACAGTAAATCTGGGAATTAGCGGGGAATTACGGAGATTAAAGTGGAGTGTTGTAGAGAGTTAGTTACAGGATTTCTGACAGGTATGAACGGTCAAGGGGGCACCCGTTGAGAGCGCAAAGGTGTTAACAAAACAACGAACTTACAATGTACCATAATCGATACACAGTAATATAATAAACAATGGCAACCGAGTGAAATCAGATATGTTTTGTTCGCTAACTGATACATTACGGTACAATAGTTGTAGAATTCACATCCGTAAATATTATCATAATTATTGCCGCACTGTGAATTAGTTAAATCATAAAAACCGAGTTAGCTCGATCACCATCAATACTGAAAAATATATAGACTCAGCACATTTTGAAATCATAGTCGGATCTTAATAACTCGAAATTATCCAAATAACTTTGAGATACATTAAATAAGTTCAGAGATATCTGATTAAAATGAAATATGCTCTTCGAGTTAAACTGTGGATTCATCATGTTCAGTGTTAGTAAAAACGAATGGCCACCGGCCGGTGTATGTTATACCTAACAATTCAAAACACAAGTAACTTTTTGACATTTATATATATATATATATATATATATTATTTTTTATTTTTTAAGTGTAACACGGACCTGACTTTTGTTGTGGGATTCTTTATGGCCTTAATGACCAATGACCAAGTGTGACTGTTGCTATTTAAACAACGTTTTGATTATGTACCTCTTCGATATCATTATTTTTAACAAAATTGAACCTGTTTATCAACAACCAAACTCTAAAACTACACGACAGAATGTTGGGCTAATTGAAAGGTTCATTACCGCCTTCTGTCCTTTTTATTTGTTAAAGTTATTGGCGGTTTGAAGATTAGCGCCCTTGAACTTACGAACTTTACGAAACTTAGAATTGGTGAAAATCGAACAACTTCAAAATATGTTAAGTATTATAATAGAAATCTTTAGCTTAAAACTGTGTGATTAATGCATATTTACTAGCATTTTATTTTATTTCAAACAAGTTCCTTCGTGTTACTGAATGCTAAATGGAGATTGCTTTATAACTTGTAATAACCTGTGTTTAATCCATTTTACCGGTTTTGTTGAATAAAATATGTTTGATGTCAAAGCCCTAAGCTAGCTGCCTGACTCATTGTTCCTAAACACCCGATAAGGTTGTAACAGAAGCTTCACAACTCGTGAACGTTCTTAAGCATGAACATCTAATTTCGTTAATTTTAAGATTTAAAAAAAACGGGGGCGAAAATGAAAAACAAAATCACCAGTTTTGGAACCTCTATTTTTGTAATGCCAAAACAAATATTTCAGAGTATTTTTAATAATACAAAAAGTAGGATTTAAATTTCTGCAAACTATTTTTTACTGATTCTTCCTTTCATATAAATGCACATTTTTTCATTGAGTGCATAAAGTCCTGAAGCGTTAAGTGACCATATCTGTTAATAGGACAAAATAAAGATAAAAATATACCAAGCTTGAGTTACCGATACAAGTTACCACTATTTTCATAGACACAATCCGATAATGTTCGTTAAAAAATCCAGTAAACAAACTATTTTTGAAGTGATGTGTTTTCCAATATTTGTCAGAGGTTCATATCTATCAAACTAACCCTGTTACTGTAGGAGGAAAATATACTGTCAGTCTCAGAAAAATAATTCCCTCCATAAAGAGCATTTTCATCGTAAAAGTGAGTGAATATTCCCTTATCAATTAATTAATAAGGCACAAATTCCGGATAAACCGAAGCTCCTAGCAACATGCAATTGATTGAACAATTGTTTTACAGTTGCATGTACGGAAATGAAATAAAAAGACCACATCAGGTTTTTAGCAATGAGAAATCAATGCTATGGGCTGTATAGTGTTGGTGTTTGTAGAAAAGTTTTCGTTTTTAATCAAAAGGCTTTTATCACATAACTTTATAAAACCGTTTCTTAGTTCTAAGTCAGGCATCGCCAGCTCAACAAAACAATTTTATTAAATGAAGTAAACATTTAGACATGTTGTTGCTTCTTCTAATTTAACTACTTGTAGTTGAAAATAATCGCATTTATTTAAATGTGTTTAGTATTTAATTTTACTCTAACAATAACTTTTACCTAAGCTCTCCATTGATTTAAACAGCACATGCATCATTGAAAGTGGTAACCTTCTGTAAAAATCTGATTTCAATTCGTTTTCAATTTCAAGTTAGGGTAACTAATTATAGCTAGATTATACCGAAGTAGAATTATATCATATTTCTAATATTCAAAATACAATATGGGGTAATGCATTAGAAATTATTATTTAAGGAACCCATTAATCAAAAGATACAATGATGGACAGATATTAGGATGTTGTACAGGTTGTTTTGGGATATTTGCATTTAGTGTTTAGTGGGAAGAAACAGTTAATTATTTTTTTGTCTTTAAATATTATCGTTAAATAAGCTAAAATAATATTTATTTCAATGAAATGTAGTCTTACATTAATTATCATTGGAATATGTCCACTTTCCATAACTGTGACTGACTAAGCCAAACATCAGACGAAAACAAGATGTGTGAACAGCGTTATAATAATTTTGTAAAAACAATATCACTTTTATGACAATACATGTATCCGAAACTGATGGCAGAAATGATCCAGAAGGACGATAAATAATCGAAATAAAAGCTTTGTTTCCACTAAGATGTATCCGGATTCCAATCCAGTGTCTTCACATTAAAGGATGCGAGAAACAGAACTCAATGGGTAGTTAAGGTCGCTGTTTGTTAGTAAGTGTATTGTGGGTTGTTATGTAAGTAAAGTAATTATTTCTGTGAATTTGATTGGATAGAACATATACTGTCTCAAAATATACCAAACTTCCACTGTAACAATTCCAATGTTTAAATCACAGAAAAAAATAAGGTTCTTGTGAAAACTGATTCTTGGAATATAGAAACAATATCCCACAATACAATCCCAAAAATATACAATATTCTACAATATAATCCCAAAAATAAATGATATGTAGTAATATCATCACAATAAAAAAAAAACATACGAGAATAACATAATTAGGTGGGTTTTTTTTTAAATTACATTGTGTATATTTCATATAGTTTTCTTTAAAAAAATTAGCCAAAGCGTTTTAAGGTGTGATAAAAAAAAATGAGAACGACTTAACGAGATATTTTGGGTTTAATAATTCATGCGTCGAATAATAAATTTTATTTTCTGTTGTTGAAACATAAAAAAAAATCAGTGTATATTATTTTCTTAATTCACAAATATAAACTTACACAATTATGAGTTAACATTTGTAAGAGGGTTCATGTTTCCTTGTCTACGAATTAGATAAAAAAAAAAATCATTAGATTTCCTTTCGTTCACATTAAAATAAAGTAGCCATACTTGATGTAGGGGGACAAACTAACGCTTGGTGATATGCTATCATAATACAAAGGCATCGCCGTGTTAGGCCTAATAGTGAACTTCGTGATTTATTTTGATTTAAAACGTAAAAATTCGTTCGATACATTTCTGGTGGACATTCGAGGAGATTTCAATTATTATTTTTTAACACTCATGATACAATTTCTTTTAAAATTAATATTAATACTATTAAATTATTTTAGAAGTTATTTCAACAAACAATTAATTACAGACCATATAATATCCATATCGGGTTTTTTTATTTATATTTTTAATAGTTTGACAATAAACTGTTAATAACTTTTTTTTTTTAAATGTTCCCATTTGAGAGGAAATACATGTTCAGCTTTCCATCACTGCATGCATATATACAGATATGATTTAGTTTGTATAACAGCTGAGCAATCATAATACACGAAGCCGTACTTTTACGATTTTCTGTTCTATATATGATATTTTTTGTTTATTCGATGTAAATAGTTAAAACACAATAATTTTTAGAAATATAAATTGTTTAACCGGTAATTTTTAATAACTACGAACTCCTCTGTTATTATATATTAATAAGTTGTTAGTTGTTTAACAGGTAGTTGCCACAAAATCTGCTGTTAACATGGGCGAACACAGAGTATCGATAGCCTGCTTCTACACAGATATACATATATATATGTATGCGTACACTATCGATAGAAACACCCCAAATGGATAATTTCAGTGGATAGTTCATATCAACTTTTAGAAATCAGATTTCTCGATATTTTGCACATATCATGATATTCTACTTGCACTAAAACCAATATGTTTAAGCTAGTTTCTGCCCCCTATTTATCCCTATGAAATATTGTTGACGTAGTACAATGTATCCTCTCAATACTATCACACTGACTAATAAAGCACCACTTAACATACAGCTAGATTAAAGAACACAACAAATGCTATTCCCTGTGTTACCCGTTTCTCTACCCTCTTCCCCAACCAATGACGTCACTCACCCGTGTAATCCATCATACGAGGCATCAACATGCCGCCACGTGCAAACCACTCATTCAGGTATGGTTGGATGTTTTGCGCGTGCTGTGAGAGTTTATACGCGTGATCCGCAGGACTGTGAAAAGCACTTCCGGAAAACATAGGCATACCACTTCCGCCCCCATTGTGGCCACCCGTATGTCCGTTAAATGCACCATACATCTGTTGAGCGTGAAGGAGGCCTTGAATTGCGACCGAATGTTGATGCATTAGGGCCGGATGTTGCGTATTCAAAAGTCCGGGTCGGGGAATAAACGTTCCGGATGTGAAACCACCAGATCCAGACGGGGACAGACTTGAGTCAGGGCTGTTACTTCGGTGGCTGGAACCGGAAGACGAGGGTCGGGGAGACCCTAAGGGTACCACAGGCGATACTAACGGTGACTTCGAATGAAAACGTTGGTCTGAGTCTGAAGTTTTCTTGGGTGTTGAAACGGAAGATGATTTTGACAATAAAGCGTCAATGCTGAATGATTTACGAGAATTATCCATCTTTGTTGTGTAATGCATCAGAACGTCTCAGCTGTATATAACCTTTATTTCATTGAAATATCAGAAAATTTATACACAAAATGTTTGTTGTTATCTCGATATAATGTCCAAAAACAACTTCATTTCTTTGATTCAAGTTTATCAAATACAACTTCAAAATATCACCCCAGCCCGTAGTAAAGTTGGTTTATCTCCACTAACACAGAGTTGTGATTGTTTTCCAAGCTAATAATGAGTCGTCCGGATAAAACACACTTCCTCTCGCCTCATATCTTGGATCATTTACTACACAAATCTTCAATGTCCAGAAAAGTCAAAATATTTATGCCAAACGTCACACCGTGCCACAATTTACCAGTCCAAACACCTCGACAACATTTGATAACGAGAGCACCCTCAAAGATTATATCTCCCGTTATGATCATTAGCATAAAGGGGCGGAGCTATAGAATCTTATGTAAATAACGGAACCGCAGCACGCTGTCGATATCTTTCCTATGCTTCTGATTGGCAGATCAGTAAATAGTTTTATCATTGTGTTCGGCTACCGAATCTTGTAAGGAGATTTTCTTTGTTGAAGATTTGTTGCAAGTGTATCGTATTTGGTAATAATATTTCAGTGGATGGATTAAACCTTAATGAATTACATCTTAGGTAAACAAAAATATCATCTAATCTAATTCTTAAACTTGTGTTTACATTGGCAATTTATGAAGCCGTCTCATTTTCCGGTGATGGAAATATTTGTTTAATAGTTTTATAACAATCAGACACATTTCTTTTTCTTCGAGAAATCTCAATATAATTTAACGTTTTCATTTGTAACGATCAAAAACAAACTATGTTTAAACTATATATAAGTTTACTCAATTGGTTTGATTGTAATTGAGCGAAATTGCATTCTTCTCATTATCCTCAATGTCTGTATCCATCTGCTTGGAATCCGTATCCAACTGGTCCTTAATAACTGGTATTGTCGATGGGCCGTAAAGCAATACAAAAAGGGAAACACGCAAACAAAACAGTCTAGAGTTGAACAACCTCTAACGGATTATTGGTTAATGGCTGAGGAGTAAATATTACTATAAAAATGGTCCGGTATTTTCTTTTCTATTTACCATCCGACTCAGTAGTCTGATCAGCTAGGCTTACTATTGTTTTCAGTTGATTAGTTCAGGTGTTCATTATCTTTGGGTTTACAGGTTACGGTTTTGTCAGTAAACCAGCTGACTGATTCAAATACTGGCTCAAATATCAGTTCATAGTCTAATTCTGTTGATCATAAATGGTGTGTTATTTAGCCACAATCTGGTGTCCAGGACAAACACAATAATAGCTTCGTCAAAAGTCGGAGAATATTGAAGAAAACTTAAAAAATAGACCACAATCAGATGTAAAGTTTTCACTTATCATATGTAAAATGTTTACGGCGGTATTAGGTGATTCATATTATTTTGTTGAGAATACTTTGTAAGAAATAGAAAAGTGATGTGTTATCAATTGATAACAGTAATTGGAATGGTAAAAAGCTACCTAATTTCCATGCAGTGCCTGTTTTTATATCTAAACTCGGCGCCGTTGAACCACTTTTAGCGTTCGTCTCTATGTAGCTCCTGTTTTATATTATTTATAAACAGAAAATTCCAGAATTATCTTAAATTGCGTGAATACCAATTATAAATTTATCGCTATAATGAAAATTTATATATATTCGTTTAAAGATATTTTATTGCCATCAAATTCAAAAGATATATGTTAAATAAATCTTGTAATGAATGGAAGAAATAGATAAATATATATAGTTCTGCTACATAATGTAAACAATCCATTACGTTGAAGAAGGAGATATTACAAAAATCAAAATATCTGTATATTGATTGTAATAAATCAATGTTTTTTTTCATTCCCAACTTTGCAAATAAATGTGAGTTGAACACACACTTCTTAACTTTTGTGATTCACATCTACTATATGTAAAATAAGCTGTGTAGATATTTTTATTATTCCTTGATCATCGCCATTGGTTACGGAAGAGTATGAGGATCTTGTCGAAAATTAAAATGAATCTCGTTTTTTCGTATTAGTACTTCTAAGTTTCGACTTTATATCGCGAAACTTCGAGTTCCAAACACATTTTTCCTTTGTTGCCTTAAAGCTCTTCCTTAATTACATGTAGTAAACCTTGAGTTCAAATTGTAATAACAATTGTATATATTTATTGTCATTATTGTAATGTCATGTCAAATGTATATTGGGAGAAGGCGTTGATAAGTTGTTATAACTTGTGCCTAATCCCTTGTCTAATTTTGGCAATAAATATGTTTAAACTAAGTAAACCTCAAAGTATGAAAAAATGTGATTGAATAGTAGGGAAAATTACATGAAATTCTTCATTTGTGCCGAAAATTCCGTTTAAACCGATAACGAAATTGATTCATAGATTTTGTTTCATTTTTTATTTATTTTTTAAATTAATTTACTGAATATAGAGATTACTTTTTTCTTTAGGAACATGATATTCTAAATTTAGTATGCACAGCGATTTACACCATGATACTATTTTGACTTATCAATAATATGTGAATAAACAACAACGTCTTATAACCTTACTTGCCTTTTTAATATTTTTTCATTTTATTTTTCATTTTATTTGAAATACAAATCGCACTTTATAACTTCCAAGGGCCGTAACTCACTTACTTTTGATAACAGTCATGTTTCGGTTATCCTAATGATCGTTAATCCGGATATGTTTCACGAAATGTTTTCAAAAACGTATAAAACATTTTACATTTTATCATGCTGCAACGGAAATACATGTTGAACGCGAAATGTCGATTTCTGGCAGTTTGTATCGTGTTTAGACTAAACCGATACCAAAGTTTTTCAGGACATTTTTCTTCAAAACACAGCAATTTTATAAATTTTGAATGATTTAATTGTATTTGTTGTTGTTGTTGTGCAACATCAAGTTTTTCGGAAATTTTCTTCGTAATTTATTGGCAATTTAATATATAAATATATTTATCATAAGATAAGACTGACCATAGCGTAAGACATCACTAGGGTATATGGTCCGACAGGTCAGTTTAAGGAAGGAGAGATAACACACTGATTATATTGAATCATGTTAAACACTATGTTCTGTTGTACGTACGTCGTGTAAGAGCAGCTATTTCACTTACTTCAGCCGCAGGTGTGAACTTACACGCCATTAAATTATTCAAAGCGTCATTTTTATTAGCGATATGCGACATTTTTCTTTCAAGGTGGTACCCGTTTATTGGCGTTGAGGCTGAGATTAGCCATCATTACGTAGAGCAGGAAAAATGCCCTACCTTTATTTACCTGTAAGGCAGGTATCGCTAAGAAAATATTCATGAGTACGTGATAATATGAGTGTTAATAACTTAATTAATTAACAACAATTGAAGCACTGGCGACGTGCGTACAACGAAACAGAAGTGTCAAACTGACTTTACCTGGATTTATAAGTATGTTCTAGCAGTTATCTCAAACACTAGGGAAAAAGTCCGGGCACGATATTGATTTTGAAATTTAATAAGTTAATTCATTTAAAATATGTTAGTATGGTATCTCGAATACTTTCTGTTTATAATACACGTATAAAGGTAAATATTTGTGTCACCTGTGTTATTTCAGAAGTATGTGTGATATTGAAACACAATGACTTAATTTATTAATAGAATGGTTAAGCGTTGAACTGATGGCCTCTTACATATCTGACAACTTTTCTTTACAATATATTACCACATAGTTCTGTCACACGAGAGCGCCACTTAATGTCAACACGGTCACCTGTGTGGGGTGTAAGTACCTGTAGGACACTTGGTTACAGGTGATTTACCTGCGATGTACCATGGTGTCAGAAATTAATTACAACCCTCTTAGGTAACACCTGTCCTGTTAGCATGTACGGGCTAGGTTTATAATGTACAGCCCTGTCATTGTGTATTACGAAATCGACAAGGCTGTTCATTTTTTATGACATTAAATAATAATTTAATCATTCGTGTTTAATCTTCACTGTTTTTCAGTAAAATCTATTTCCTGTTTTAACAAATGTACGACATATATATGTACATAAATACGATGCTATGTATACAAGTACCACACAGTTGCGAACCACTGCACACCAGGATGTGTTGTATACCGTTTGTAACTCTTTAATGCGGAGGGAGTAAAGACAAAACTAGTTACAACCAGAGACATATATAGTATATACGTCTCTGTTACAACGCATTGTTGTAATTAACGTATGACTGTCAGATTGTTTGCCTGTCTGCCTTCAAATCAACCTTATGAGACGTTTTCTCTTCTCTCGCTATTCCGTTTTGTCCCTGTATTCATATGTTGTTTTGGTACCCACACAGATAAACTTTATTACATATATGGGTGTGATAATGTAAACGTTTCTTAGCCAAAGCAACTTATATTGGGCAAACCTCATGGCAAAGTGTCTGTTTATGTTCAAGCAAAATTACAAACTTGAAATAAAATGATATAAAGACACAAGGATATATATGTTTAAGCTGTGGACAACTTTTTAAATTTTCTACATGGCCTAACGATTAAGTCTTCTTTTCACAACTGTATCTTTATCAATGATGACAACAGCTGCAGTTTTACTTTTATCATTATCAATTTTCTTTACTTACGAAAAAAATGTTCATGGAAGCAAGTGGAGGGAAATGACGGGATAGTACTTAGCACGCGCCCCCCTCACTTAAAACCATTAACTAGTCCTGGAATACAATGTATGTTATATTATCACCGTAACTTGCTGTAAAACTGACCCCTGGTCAGTAGGTAGTGGTGTTATGATTGTAACAAGTAGGTGATGACACAGCCAGAGCCATAAACACCCTACGTGTCGTGAGTTTACAGAACAAGCGTTACTGTACACGCTTCCATTAAACTGTCAATTGTTTATGACATCCACATCGTTTCTTTCTATTGTGATATAAAAAAGTATAATTGTAGCTTCAAAATATAATTGTAAAAACTTACAGAAATTAAGCTTAAATGAAAGAGCACAAATACGATTGACTATAACACAGTTTAGTTTAATTTTGTATAAGCCTAACTGTTTCTATACCTATCGCGAATGAGAAGAAATAATAATGCACTTAACTCATAGAAAGTTAAGAAGTTGAAGAATAGATCTATCGGACGTTATTTTGTCAAATCTTTAGATTTTGCTTTGGTGTACAAACTCCAAACGTAGTAGGGTAGAGTTACATGTAGATTTTAACATTTTTCTTCATGAATTCTGCACAAAAAGTAATATCCTCGTTATATCAATCATTGCCGTATCAACTCTTCGGTATGGTGTTAAT